TGGTGTCTTGTACTCATGGTTCAATGCCGGGTCAAAGACAATCACTTCAAAAGGCCCAGACAGGTGCTGTAGCTTGGCCAGCGGATCTGTAGGATCAATGAGTGGCAGCAGGAGAGCACATGGCTCCTTCGGCTGAACCTCCTTCGCACTCTGCAGGTTTCCCTTTGACACAAACGCAATCCCACCCCTGTTGGTGGACAGCTGTTGCTTCTGAACAAAGGGCACAGGGGTCTTGTCTTTGACAACGAATGGATGATCCGCCTGCAACTGGAGGTCCTCCCACTTACTCTGCTTAACCTGCTTCTTTTTGCTTTTCCAGGGGTCATCAATCTGCCATGGATCAACTGCCTGCATTGGTGAATCAGCAGAAGCGGCTCCTTCCATTCCACCAAGAGAAACAGCCGAACACGGCTGGAGGTAGCTAATACCACCAACGAGCAAAAAGAGCCGCCTGAGATTGGCTGCAAAGGTCCTCAACATTGGTGGCGCACCTGCTGTTCTCCATGCTTGATCTGACTCATCAAGAATGAGATCAAAAAACTGCCGCTTTTGCTGTGGAATATGGAAGGCATCAGGGAGAGCCAAATCAGCAATAATCCACCTGTGCAGCAATTCCCATCCACACATGCCTGGTCGAGTACGGTTGGTGTCAATGATAATGATCGGCCGAAATCCAAGAGGTACAACATAGTCGGTGGCAAAGTTTTGCCAAAACTGCTGGTCTCGAGGAGGAACCTGCAGAAAGACTGCACGGCATGTATGCTCTTGGGAATTGCAGACGACCTCAATGCCTACCCAATGCCCTTCTCGCAATGCAACAAAACGCTGTACCTCCAAACAGTTGGAATGGCCCCAGAGGCAATCAAGGACAAGTCATGATGTAGCACTGGGGGGCAAAAGGAATCTGGCAGGAAGAACGCCAAGGCAAACTCGATCTCATCACTGGTGGCCCACCCGGGATGGGTCCTGCAGATGTTCACTCTCTGCTCAAGCCAGTCATCCGCCACGAAGAAGATCTCCCTGATATCATACGAGTGGAGGGCCCTCCCTGTAGCTCTAAGGATAAGATCAGCAGCTCGACTTGGGGAGTCCATGACTGCTACAAGAAAGGCATTCCTGCTAGCCCTAGCAAATTGCAGCATTCTGTCATCGGTTCGAATTTCCCGCCAGACAAAGTCAGCTTGGTCGATCACCTGCATGACATGTTCTGTGAACTGAGTACGTTGAAGCCGTTGCATACTTCGATGGGTCACTGGTAGCAAAGGTGCACCAGCCCTGGCATAGAAGGTTCTCAACGTATGCCACGCATACAACTCAGAATCTTCAGTGGTTCGGATCCACCTGTAGGCATTGGGTAGCACATGGATTCCCATCACATTGATCAGTTCAAGAACCGCGTTCATTTGCCGAATCGTCAATTGCTCTGGAGAATGATACAGAACACGCCATTGTGCCTCAAAAAACCGGACCTCCACGAAAATCCAGTCAAAGACCACGAGTATGGGCACCACGAAATGCTGAAAACTCATCTGCAAATCAGCAGGTTCATGCGGGAAGCGGAACTGGGACTCATTGTTGACCCAGAGTGCTGGAGGACACCAACAAATGGAGGGCATCAACACTTGGAGAATATCGAAATGAAAGACAATCTCATCAATGGCCAACGCCCCCGGCTCCAAGTTGATCTGGAGTAGCCGAGCGACAACCTCGTCATTCTGAATGTTGCAACTTGGTTGGTCAGCGAGGCGATCCATGCCCCCGAAGAGGATGGGAACAACATCTCGCACACGAGTATCACACCACAGGATATCACCATTAATCAGCATCAACGGCTGATCCTGACGACACTCCACCAGGTTCCGCATGGTGACATGACATTGCTGCTCCAACAAAGCATCACACTGCTGAGGGGTCACTGTTCGAGGCACTTGACAAATCTTGCACCAATTGAGTTCATGACCACCAGCAAGGAGGACCCATTTACTTGAACTCACCGGCTGGTAGGATCCCTTAATGGCCATCACCACATGTACTCCCAGCAGGCTACGGCAAGCATCATGATTGACTTTGAAGAAGTGTAGCATTTGGTCCTGAGTTTGAAACATTGGGATGCCAAGACGATCAAGGTTGGCGTCATGGATCCACTCAAATGTCCCATCCTGTTGGACCAAAAGGATCTTGGCCTTCTGTCGAGGCTCCTCATCTTGACATACATATTCTGCCACATGAAAGAATCCAGCTTGGTGAAGGTCTCTCAGACTGTCCAGCTCAGGGTCATGCTCTTCGATGCACCACGGTTGGGTTGGCGACACAATTGGATCCCGATCGGCGGGGCGGCAATCAGTATGAATAATTTGAAGGGAACACAGGGCAAACCCTCCAAGTTTCACTGTGATATCTCCTGCAGGAAGGTGAGCCCAAGCAGGGTTGGGTGGCAAGGTTGTCCCATCAAATACCAGCTGAATAAGAGCTGCATGGTGTTCGGCTAGATCAAGCACTGCCAACAACTTGTCCACAACCCGAACATCAGCATGGACATTAAGTGGAATGAGCGAAAGATCATCACAGAATCTCACCATGGTATGGCCAACCAGCCATGGCTGCCAAGTGACAATACTTGGAATCGCCTTGGCAATGAAATCCGCAAACGGCTGTAGCACCAACATGTCATCACAGACCCGAATCATGGCTCTGTCCACCGTAAGACGGTCTTCCCAACATTGCAGGATCAGTTGCATCTTGTTGATCATACCACCTTCAACCCCTTCAAGGCCAAAAAGCAAGGCCGCCAGCCCATGAATCTGTGAAATGGCATTGCCAAGTTGATGAAAGGCAAGCTTTGTGTCAACTGGAAGTGCAATCGAATCCGTCGTTCCAACCAAATAGCACAACAAAGACAAACGGATCAATGAAACAGAACTCATCATCCCTCTGTGTGAGAGTGGCGAAAATGCCTTTCGACTCAATATGCTCTCTTTGGAGGTGGTGTTGCACCGTGTAGGATGCACACAGTGTGGGAAGATATTCACCGCTGTGCGCAAGCCTCTGGACAAGGACCCGATGATCATCTGCTCCTTCAACCACACGAGCCTTTTTGGCTGGCGGCAGCAAGTCACGACTCCCATAGATTGCCATTTGATCAGTGGTCAGTTTAAGACCCTCACAGAGTGTCTTGGGAAGGGCAAACAGGCGCTTGCCGTCATTCCATGGAAGTCTTCGGTTTGCAGCACAAAGTAACCTCTCTTGTGATGGCTGGTACTTAACATCCTTCCGGCACCACGCAGACAACCAGCGTGTACGATGATTGCCAGTCAGCTGGTGAATAGCAAGATCTTGCGACCAAATTTTCCGATAGCCTGCGAGCTGTAACGCCGCAGAAAGTGCCCTCCAGTGGGGGTGAGCTTCAAGACCATCAGAACACTCGAACAAAGCAAGGATTGGTCGAACCTTCGCCAAGTGCTCAATGGAGTCCAAGAAACAGAACCCTTCATCGTTGGCCAGCCCGGAATGCTTCCCTCCTCTACTCCAGCTTGGACAAGGAGGGGAAAGCGTCATCATGAGGTTCAGCTTATGTGAAGTCGCTCTGAGAAGAGTCCGATCACTAACGTCCGCTAGTATGCCATTGAACACTTCTGTTGAGTCGAACGCCACAGGAATGGGACACTTAAGGTGATCACGTCCATGGTTGAAGGACCAGGTCTTCATCACCTCAGGGCACCAATCTACCGAGGTGTGGGATGCAAAGGCATGCCCCAAATTGGCTTGCTGAAGCCACCACATAGCACGAAGCCAGCCTTCATATGCTCCAGAAAATATGTGGGATACATTCCATGCAAAATGCTTGTCAAGGCGAGAAACATTCCACAACGGCATGGTGTCATCCGCCCACACCTGACAGTTGGCCACCCGTTGGTGTGGTTGCACCAAAGCTCCAACCCACATCCCTGCAGAAAGGTCAACACGCTCATGCACAACAGGGCAAATGATCTGAAAGGTTGCCCATTCCTCATGGTCAGCAACCGGGGCCAAGAGCATGGAGGTGCGCTTCACGTCAATCCGAAGTGGAGGACCCACAGTCGAATCAACAACCTCACCAAATAAGATCCAGTTATCCTGCTCCCCTCTGCACATCCCAGAAGTTGCAATACCCTTCAGAGCACACCGCACAGTATCAGCGAGAGTGGAAGGCATGCCCACAGTAGCCCACTGGATCAGACCATCGCTTGCATGGTGGCCAGCTTCGATCTTCGTGTCCATCTTCGGCATGCAATCCCTGGACAGGTGAATCCAGGGTCTGTAGACGCGCCACACCTTGTCCAAGGGAAAGGCTGCAGCGCCCCGGCCCTTGCGAGAAGGCGTGAGGCAAATGGTTTTGAGCCAAGATGCCTTGGGGGGAGCTTCCTTGAAGAAGCGCTCGCGCGCGCTAACGATTTGGTTATTAGATTTCTAGGGAAACAAGCAAAGCAGCCTGAAAGAGCAGTCACACGAGGAAATCTACCAATTTATTATGGGCCTTTTCTTGGGCCAACAATTTTGGAAGTACAAATTCCGAAACAAATTCAGGCATACACAGTGGCTGAAGCTTATATAATCATATTTATGACTATTTGTGGTATTGCGACCTTCCGTTCACAACTGATGCAAGCTCTTCAAACATGGCTGCTCAAGAATAATCTCAATGTCCGTAGCTAGGAAGGCCCGGGCAGCTCTTTGTATGTATGTATATATATATATATGTGTGTGTGTGTGTAAACGTGTATATAGTTGATTATAACTATAACTTAAACCTTGTGTGTTTGGGCAATGATTGGTTGGTTGGCGCTTGGGTTTCCTTGCGTTCTTGCTCGGGATGCAGCCAAACATGCATGGCTTGTACAATCCGTCAAGTGTTCCGGACGTCAAGTCCATAGTAGTGTTGCATGAGGCTTGGTCATTGCAATTTTTTGACAACCTCAAAGCAGCTTTGCAATCCCTACGAAACTGACCACATCCGACGAGTCCTCGTGGACTAAGGTTGCGAAGCATCCAAGGTGTTGCCGACAAGCCCGTTGCCCTCTGATCAGGACATGCTTGAAATGACAGTTGAACCGTATTGATGATCCTTTCCATAAATGCAGGATGCACGCAATTTTTTGAACATGTCTTTTGGCAGTATCTGGATGATCTTGCAAACAAGCAGCGTGCACAGCATTCCGTACCTTTCACGACCAAGTCTCTTGGATCTCTTGGTGTCTGCACTTGGCTCTTGCAAGCACAACTGCTGCGCTCTTAGTCTAGGCCCCATGCCCGACAATGAAGTTTCGCACCTGGCTTTGTCGGAAACTTTTGCTGTCTTTTTCTACTTGGCATGAAAGCTACATGTGCTTTTGTGGAATAGTGAGCCAAGGGACCTGTGTCACAGACCATTTCAAATGATCTCGAATCCAGGCCTGAAGCTTGTTCAGCTGATCTTCATCAAAAGCAATCAACAGCTAAAGGACGTTGCACAGCTGTCAGCATCGCCTGGACGACGTCACTCAGGTTCTTGCCCTCCAAGAACCTGGCTTGATAAATGATAAATGCAGTTGTAGCAGCAAGTGTCTCCGAGAAAGCAGGAGCAATTGTCCCAATGCTAATCGGAAATGATTGCCGTCTCCCGTCTCCAATGTCAAAGCAAAAGTAAGAGCAGCAGCAGTAGTGAGGCATGCTTCGATCATGTCGCAGTGGTTAGAAGATGTTCCAATGTTAGAAGTAGCCGTTGCCGCTTTAGCAGCAGTTGATGCAATAGCCACCATTGTAGGTGATCGTGGTCAGTACCATGGGTTTTGCAGCGTGAGTAGTTGCGCCAACTGTAGCAGTAGTAGTCCTGATCGTAGTAGTCCTAAATCGTAGTAGCTGAGTTATCTCCAACGACTGAGTTAGCCATGGGACGGTAGAGATAGTAGAGGCAGCACCTTTTGACCGATGCACCCGATGCACAGCCTATCTCAATAGCAATCAATTACACTCAAAAATGCCACAGAGATATGAGTAAAGCCCCAGCCCTCAACAAAGCCACGTTGAGTGATTGACGTTGCATTGTCACACTTGGACATTCCCCGTTTTTAACCAACATCAAAGCAACAAGAAGGCTCCTGCCGAGTGGCATCTGCAAAGTTGTTATAGTGACAAGCTTCCTCAAAGCCTGCCAATGCAAACGGACATTCGAGAACATCTCATGTCTTCAAGTATGCAGAATTGTACCAACATGAACCACAGCCGCAATGCGCCCTAGTTCTTCTTGTATTGTCAAACATTTACAATACTTACAAGTCAGTCTCCGCCCCTTGGGCCCTAATCGTTGGACATTCCTGGCTGTTAGCTCTGGGTAGAACATTGGTGGCCTCAACGCCGGTAGTGCGAAAACTCTTGCAAAAAGCATTCCAAGAATAGTTATATAATCCCTACCCTATCCTGAGGGGGGGCGTCGAAAATTGTAAGTTACATTTTCCTGCGCGCAGGGCCTCAAAAAATATAATTACATTAACTTTGAGGTGGCCTCAAAAAAGGTAACTTACATTTTTGAGGCCTCATGGGTGATTTCCTGGGGAATGACCTCAAAAATGTAACTTACATTTTTGAGGCACAGAGGAGCGCTTACAATTTTAGACCCCCCCCCATCCCCACACTAATTTCTGCTCACGACCACGTCCCGCATGGTCAAATGCGGCATTTCAAGGAAATGCCTGCCGAAACATGTCAGCCGTCAGCCATCAAGTTGAATGATGCTGCCCGCGGCCGGCTGCATCATTAGCATTTTTTGAACTGAAAAAACAAATATATAAAATATATATGTTGTTTTGTTACAATTCTTTTTGGCCGGGGGGTCTTCCATACACAACTCCATACACAACTCCTTCTGCAGCAACAAGCCACACAAAAACAAAGCAAATGAGGGAACAGCAGTGGGTCTGAGTCATCATCAACAAAGAAGAACAGGAAGCACACCCAAAGCAAACTGCCAAGAAACAGGAACATACATGTTCCCACTGAAGACCCCAAAGGAAGGCAACAAAGCGAAACCCAAACATAACAGACGATCACACTCCATACATAATAAGCAATAATGGAGAACAATAAAGGAGAGGCTGCCTGTTCTATTGGGCAGGAGAACAAGGATATTCAACGCCGTTTGATCCCCTGGTTTCTTGCCCCCTGCGTGCGGTTCGTGTGGTCGGACGTGTGTGCTTTTCAGTATGCTAAAATGTAAGTACCTCAGGGGGACACCCCAGTTCCTTGTAAATTCTGGGGAGTTGGGCATGTGGCCAAAATGTAAGTTACAATTTGTGAGGTCAAACTTTCTCACAGAACCCATGTATTCCCTGTAAAATCTGAGGGTTTGGATGCGTGGACTAATTGTAAGTTACAATTTTTGACGTCTGCAAATCTCACCTTTCGCCTGTGTCCTGGTCCTGCATTTTTGGAGGCTATGTTTTCCTTGGTGTTGAGGCATCAGCAAACAGTTGCCAAATAATACTTTTAGTTAATTACTTATTTAGAAAATATTTCATTAAGTGACTCCCACCCGCAAATAATTTCTTAGTGATTGGCGTATCTTCGATCTGCCAACGCACCCTAGGGGGGGGGAGTTAAAAAAATGTAAGTTCAGGCCTCCCAAGTCCCAAGTTACATTTTCCAGACCCCCCCCCTCCCCTCGATCTGACGACCCCCCCAGGGGGGGGGTTGGAAAAATGTAAGTAAGCACGTCCCAGGCAACAAGTTACATTTTTTTGCCCCCCCCTCCCCCCCCTTGACTAGTTTCGATGGTGCCTGGGGGGGGTAACTTATATTTTTTGACCCCCTAGGGGGGTACCCTAAAATGTAACTTACTTTTTTGAGGTCCCCCCTCCCGGAAGTAGCTCAAGGGGGTAGGGATGTTACATACCAAAGAACCTACCTACCGCCGGCATCACACAAAGAATGCAGTAAACTCCCCTCGAATGAAGCGCTCAAACGCCCCGTGTGGCTGCACAATCAAGCAACTTGTCGTCAAGCCCTCTCACTCTGAGATCAAAGGAATGGCCAACCAATGAGCAAAGCAGCGGACTGGAATGACCTTAAAGTGAAAAAGTTGCCCTTCGGCTAGTTTTTTCGCCGCCCTATGGCCTGGCTTCCTTGGGTAAAGATTCTCAAGAATCCAAATGGGTTGACCCTCAGTCGTGAGAGGCTCAGCGAGAGGCTCCGAGAGTGCATGTTCACCAAAGGCTTCGTCTTCTGTTTCATGCATGGCCGGGCGTCATATCAAAGGTGATTTTGGCAGAGGCTCTCTTGCAAACGTCCAACGTCTCCTTTTTCAACATGTTTCTGCATCACAGGGACGCCACATGGATACGGCAGTCCACTCCTCCAGCTGGGTGACGACAAATGCCGTGTGAAGAGTGGCAATTGCAGCTTTGGCCTCAAATCAGTATACATGTTTACACTCCCCCACACAGCCGCGTGTGTGTGTGTGTGTGTGTGTGTTGGGACATGTTTTGCCTAAAGCACACGTGTTTGTGTTAGTTTTGAAACAGTTTATTTCAGGTCAAGGACAATGAAACACCGTTTCCACGAGTTTCAAGAGAGGAAACCACTTTTTCAAAAGCGCGTGCTCATGATCTTCGAAAGCGTGTGTGCGTGTGGTATCATCTTCCAAGCACATCCAGCCAAACGCAATTACACCCCCACCCAACATCATCTTCCAAGCATATCCAACACACCACCACCAACGAATCCAACAATCCGAAACATAAGGGAATTCCGGCGCAAACACGCAAAATGGAACTGCGAACAAGTACGAAGAAGAGGGTTGCCCTGATTCAACATAACAACATGCTGCTGTTTAAAGTGGTAACAGTAAAGGTGCCAACTTCCATGCCTATTGCAATGACGTTGGACAAACGCTTCGTGGCTTGATAAAAGTGCACGACTATTAGCGCGGTTGTCAAACCGGTAGCATTGAAATGCATATCATTCCCCCCCCAGTGGCCCTGCGGAAATCAGAAAACATTGCAAATACCACACACAAATTTGGGAACAATTGCTGAAAAACGACAAAAGCGTACACCCAAAACATGAACATGCAAAAGCTGGAAAGGTGGTTCAAACGACACCTGCCTCACTCTACATACATACCTGATATGCAAGTTTCTACTGTGGAGGAGGGGTGGGGGCGGTGGTGGTGGCGGGATCGTTCATCTGAGAGGATTTTGCTGCATAAGTTATCGTGTTTGTTATCGTGCTGATACCCCCACATGATGCTCTAATTTTGGGCTTCATGCTTGACTCAAAGACCGCGACAGCAGCATACACACATCTTCTTCCCCGTCCACCCAAAGGAGGTTCAAGAAGTTACGCCCCTGTTAGCTTGTTCGTGCTTCACCCAACAGAATGCGAAAACATGAACTGTGATTTCTCTAGTTTAGTGCAAAAATGTATATCCGCCGGCCCCTGCTTTGGCGAAGGCAGGGGGGGCCTGGGACCACCGAAGGTGTGGAACCTGAGCTCTCCAAATCCTTGCTCGAAATCTGGCTGTTGGAGCTGCCAGCTTCTGGATTCTGGACGCTTCAAACGCTCCAAAACTTCGCACTTGCCAAACTGTGGGCGCAGTTGCCAGACGGTGGGCTCTGGGCTCTGGCGCGCCAAATCCTTTTTTTCTAATGGCCCGAAACAGCCCTTCCAACCCCTCAAACCCCCCCGAAACTTGCCCTCAAACCCCCCGAACCTTGCCAATGGTTCTGCCATACTGGCAGTTGGAGCAGCCAGCTTCTGGATTCTGAACGCTTCAGACGCTCCAAAACCCTGGGCTCTGTCCCAGACTGTGGGCGCAGTTGCGCAGACTGCGGGCTCTGGCGCGCCAAACCCTTTTTTCCTAGTGGCCCGAAACTGCCCTTCAAACCCCTTAAACGCCTCAAACCCCTCAAACCCCCCGAAACTTGCCAATGGTTCTGCCATACTGGCAGTTGGAGCAGCCAGCTTCTGGATTCTGGACGCTTCAGGCCCTCCAAAACCTCGCACTTGCTAGACTGTGGGCTCTGGGCTCTGTCCCAGACTGTGGGCGCAGTTGCGCAGACTGCGGGCACTGGGCTCTGGCGCGCCAAATTCTTTTTTCCTAGTGGCCCGAAACTGCCCTTCAAACCCCTTAAACGCCTCAAACCCCTCAAACCCCCCGAAACTTGCAAATGGTTCTGCCATACTGGTAGTTGGAGCAGCCAGCTTCTGGATTCTGGACGCTTCAGACGCTCCAAAACCTCGCACTTGACTGTGGGCTCTGGGCTCTGTGCGCAGTTGCGCAGACTGCGGGCTCTGGGCTCTGGCGCGCCAAATCCCTTTTTTCTAGTGGCCCGAAACTGCCCTTCAAACCCCTTCAACGCCTCAAACCCCTCAAACCCCCCGAAACTTGCCAATGGTTCTGCCATACTGGAAGTTGGAGCAGCCAGCTTCTGGATTCTGGACGCTTCAAACGCTCCAAAGCCAAGGCCTCGCATTTGCTAGACTGTGGGCTCTGGGCTCTGTGCCAGACTGTGGGCGCAGTTGCGTAGACTGCGGGCTCTGGGCTCTGGCGCGCCAAATCCTTTTTTTCTAGTGGCCCGAAACTGTCCTTCAAACCCCTTAAACGCCTCAAACCCCCGAAACTTGCCCATGGTGCTGCCATACTGGCAGTTGGAGCAGCCAGCTTCTGGATTCTGGACGCTTCAAACGCTCCAAAACCTCGCACTTGACTGTGGGCTCTGGGCTCTGTGCCAGACTGTGGGCGCAGTTGCGCAGACTGCGGGCTCTGGGCTCTGGCGCGCCAAATCCTTTTTT